GATGACGTGCTGCTGCTGCCGCCGAAGCGCGGCAAAGTGGGCAAGCAGCTGGGCCGCAACCGCATCGTGTGCCGCGTGGTGGAGATCAAGCGGCCCTTTGGCGTGACCATGTACCGGCTGCGGAGCGGAGCTGGAGTGGTGGAGGGTATGCATCAGGCCAGCAGGCTATCTAAGGCGCCACCCAGCCTGGCCAGCGAGCTGACCTTCAGCGGCACGGCGCAGCGAGGAGTGCCTGTGGTGTCTCTCAATGTGGCGATGGCGGCGCAGCCCGGCGGCGGCAAGGCAGCCGTGCGCTGCGGCTGCCGCGGCGCCTGCACCCGGAACTGCAGCTGCAAGAAGAATGGTGCGCGGTGTGGGCGGCACTGTGGCTGTATAACCGGTAAGGGTGGCAATTGCAAGAACCATTGAAGAAGTGTGCCTTGTACGCTTTGCCGTCTCCGCTGAAAGGTGCTGCCGCCTGTGGCGGCTTCATATTTCCTGTTCATTTCTGTTGTTCGGTCTCTCTGTTCGTGTTGGTTGGCTTGTAAGAGTTGTATTTCTGACGCTAGAGAGGTGAGATGACAGCGGGAGCGTTGAAGCGTGCATGCCATCACGTGTGCAAGCAGCCCCGCTCCGCCCCGCTCAACCCTCAAACATGGCTCTATGGGGTCAGTTCACGTATGGGAGGGGAGCGCCGCGCGGGCTGCCAGGAGCGAGCGGGGGCGGGGGTTGCCCAATCGGGAGGGTGCCACATCAGGGGGCAACACATGCGATGCTCGTGCTGTGCCCCAGCTGACGCGGTTGGAGCCCAGCGGCCTCGCATGAAACTGGGGGTACCCGGGACCTGTGCAGAGGGCGGTTGTTTCAGCAGACGAGACGCGAGGGTCTCGGAGGATGTTCCAACTGCCTGCGCAACGGTCGCCGCCTGCCCTCAACAGTCGTGAAATGAGGGGCGTTTGTGGGGCTTCCAATGGTGCATGGGCGAGGCCTCAAGACCCCTGCGCATGGGTGATCGGGCCTAGGGGCCAGGCCGGGTGGAGACGTACACGGGATCCAGCGGGCCGCCACCGGTGGTCACCGCCGCCACAACATGAACTCCACCATGCTCCTCCCAGGGCATGCAGCAATCCCAGACGGCAGCCATTGATCGAGTGTGGCAGTGCTGCGGCCTGGCATGGCATGACCCTCGCCATTTCCTGCCTGGTGCTTGGAGGGCTTGGGGGGGCGGTAGCCCCAGATGCCCTACACACATGTTTGCGGCTCTGCCGCCTAGTGCGTCCGACCTCCCCAGTCCTCGCAGCTGCAGCAGGCGGGCTACCTCCTCCTGAGCTGGAGGCGCTGTCCTATGGAAAGGTCGGCTATGTCTGACTGGGCCCTCACTCAAGTTGCGATTTCCTGGCGCCACAATTGTCTTTCCTCGCTTCCTCCCCGCCTCTGGAACCTCCCATCCTCCTCCATCACACTTGCAAGCCATGAACTCGAGCCTACGCAACACGAGTGTGACCGACGTCCCAGCGAAGCGGCCGCTTGCAGTACGCGTCTCTAGCAAAGACCGCAAGGCCCAGGCGACGAGTGCGGGTGAGTGGTGCGGGTTTCGCTCGGGTTGGCGAATCGAGCTTCAACACGGTCTGGACCTGCGGGTGCTGCCCTCCTACACTGCTTCACGCCTGCAAACATACCTCTGAACGCCATGTTCGCGCTGCGTCCGTTTCCCGTGCAGGCCGCTCGGCCCGCCCTGCCACCGGCGCCTTGCAAGATGGCACCCTGCCCCAAGCTTCCGGAGGCGGCGGCTCTGGCTCCCTGTCAGCCGAGTCCAGCGCGGCCGACCTGGGCCTGCTGTCGTGTGGCCTGTTCGAGGACGAGCTGGAAGAGCTGCTCTTATCACACAGCCCCAAGGTGAGCGGCAGCTGGCGGCGACTCTCCGCGAGGTGACAGCCGCTGTTGTGCCACCTGTCGTCCCCAGCCCAGGTGCTTCCACAGGATATGCCTCTACAGGCCACCTCTTCCACTCAAACCATGCCTCTTCCCTGTGCTCCTTGTGCCTGCAGACCGCCGATGCGGCCTCGCACCAGCTGAATTGACGCATGTCTGCGCGGCCGTGGGGAGGGGTGGCGCCCCGCCGCCCCCAATCCCCGCCGGCGCAGGCAGGCGACCCAGGCCAGACATCCCACCCCCTAGAGTGCCACGCTTCCAGCTTAGTCGACACATTGCGAGAATGTTCCATCCATGTCATCCTCAATGCCATTTGATACCCGCGGCGGCCCCTGGCGCCCCGTCTTCCCCTTTCTTCCCAGCCGGAGCGTGGAGCTGGGCGTCAGGCGCAGCCACGCGCGCCCCGGCGGCGCTGCGCCTGCCCCGCCGCCCCCTCCCCCCGACCTGTTTTGATTTGTATACTCCCCGCTCCCAAACCGCGCATGGGCTGAAGACGCCCCTCTGAATGCTTGTGGATTTGGACCCCCAACGTCTCCCGTCTCGTGCGCCGCTGTATGCCTCTCTTCCGCCCCTAGAGGCCCCTCGTGGTCCTGTGCTTGTCGCCCCATATACTTTATCCCCAGCCCTACCAACCCGTTTTGAAGCCCTGTGTCATACAAAAATCAATTCTCCAGTGCTTGCAAGCACCCCCAACCCCCCTCCCCCTCTGCTTGAACCGACCCGTTTTTAGTGTGTGCCTGAGTGCACGCCTGCACATTCCCTGCCCCCTGCTTGTAACTTGCATCAGCGCCGCAAAGCTTGCAGCGAGTGGCAGGCAGAGAAGAGGCACCAGGGAAGAGTGGTTGGATCAATGAGAAAGTGGCTTGGGAGCAGCAGCAACAGCCACCTGCCAGGGCCCCTACAGCGGCAGCTGCCCTAGGCCCTCCAGCGCCTCCCTCGCTGCCGCCTGCTCGGCGCCGCGCTTGTCGAACGAGCCGCCGCTGCCCACCACCCGCCCTCCAAAGGCCACCTCCACAGTCCACCACGGCAGCTGCGGCAGGGGCCAGCGGCGAGCGGCAGGGTTGGGGGCAGCGCAGGCCGGCGCTGGTACGGAGCTGTGTCCTGCGCCTGTGCTGCCAACACGGGGAGCAGGCGCGTGCTGGCCTCCCCCTCTCACCTGCAGTCCCGCCTTGTACTCGCGCTGGCTGGTGCTCCGCACCGAGAACCGCGGCTGCGGCTTCTGGTGGGCGCCGGCGTAACGGCTGCGGCAACCAGCAAGCGGGGCACAAGCTGGTGTGCACGGCGTCCGGCCGGTTGGGAGGGCCTGGGCGGCACCACGCATGGGTGCGCACGCATGAAACAGACAGCAGGGGCGCGCGGCGCTAGCGCTCCCGTCCACCAAACAGCACCCACGCCGCAGCCCAGCACACCACAGCCCAGCACACCGCAGCGCGGCGCAGCGCACCACAGCAGGGCCTTGAAGTCCTGGGCCGCCTCCAGCTGCTCCCACTCCACGCACGCCTCCAGCACGCGCATGCAGAAGCGCCGCGCCACCACGAAACCCTGCGCCGCGCCGCAAGCAAACGGCGCAGCAGCGTCAGGTCCCGCCCGGCGCCCACACCAGCTTGTTGCAGGCTTGTGTCGTGCAGGAGGGCAAGGCAGGGGGCACCACACCACACCACACCACACCACACCACACACCCTGTCCAGGTAGAGCGCCCCGAGCAGCGCTTCAAAAGCGTCGGCCAGCAGGCCGGGCTTGTGCTGCGCGCCTTCCCTGCAGGCAGGCAGTAGGGCGGGGGCAGGCCAGGTGAGGGGCTCGCGCCTCCCGCCAGCCACGCTGGCAGCCGCGCTGTGGCCACCCGGCGCTGAAATGGCACCGCCGGCGGCTGCGCCGTGTGCTGCCTGCTGCGCTGCTGTGCCAGGGCTGCTCGCTGCTTGCTTCCAGGGGGGCGTGCCTGAGGGCCCTGGGCTCCAGCAGAACGTATCGGTCCAGCCCCAGGAAGGCGGCGTAGCGTGCGTTGCTGGCGCCAGACACAAGCAGCGAGTTGCGGCGGCTCATCTGGCCCTGCAGCGCAGGCCAAACCAGGTGGGGCGGCCAGGGCGGCCACAGGGACAGGGCGCCCCGACAAAGCGGGTGGCAGAGCGGCACGCGGCAGCGCTGCGGACAGCGGGTGGCAGCAAAGCCGCGCCGGCGCCGAGGCAGGCCCTTGCCTTGCTGCCACCCGAGGCCGGCGCCTGCCCCAGGCCGCTCCGCCTGCCTGTGCGACGCACCTCGTCGCTGTCTGGGCAGCGCGCCATGAGCAGGGTGCGGCAGCACAGCCCCAGCACTGAGTCTCCCAAGAACTCCAGCCGCTCATAGCTCTGCAGCTTGCAGCAGGCGCGGGCGCCCGGCATGGGTGAGCAAGCAGCAGGGGCCACGCGCCCGCGGCAGCCAACGTCCACCCGTGTAAGCTCAGGCGGCGCGGCAGGCAGGCTGCTGGGCAACGGCGCCGTCGAGCAGCGCACGCCTGCGGCCACGCCTGCGGCCCTGCCTGTGGCCACGCCTGCTGCGCTGCCACAGGTGCAACGCAACGCCCCCGCACTGATGCAATGCAACGCCCCCGCAGCCCCGCGGCGTGCCCGCCCACCTTCTCCAGGCGCAGCTCCAGCGGCAGCGCGGACTTGTGGGTGAGCGCTGTGCGGTACAGCCCCATGTCCCGCACCCCGCACCCCGTCAGCGCCTCCACCCGCCACGCCGGCAGGTCCGCCAGCGTCGCCGCCGTCTGGCCTGCGCGCGAGTGGGCGGGGGGAAGGCGGCGCCACGAGGCACACGAAATGAAGGCGGAGGGCGAGGCGGGACGCAAGCTGCAAGGCTGGGCAGGCTGGAGCAGGCGCCTCGCAGGGAGCCGGCCGCGATGCGGTGCGGTGCGGGTGCAGGGGCGGCCTAGCCCTGCTGCTACCTTTTGAGGCTTCACTCACCCTGCTCGTTGAACCCCGCCGCGGCGAGATCTCGAGAGCTGGGGGGCGAGGGGCTGCTCATCAGCGCTGCCAGAGAGGGGCTGGCATGCGCCTCCTCCACCCTGGGGGGCCAGGATCCCCAGAACAGCCGGCGGATGCGCACAGGCATCAGGCGACGGAACAGCGCCAGCCACAGGCTGCCGGCCGCCGACAGCAGCAGCGCGCCGCGCTGGCGCATGGCTGCGGCGGCCCACGCCGCTGCCGTCAGGGCCGCAGCCAGTTGCGGGCGGGGCTGGCCGCCTGCGGCGCCGGGAGGCTTGCTGCCTGGCGAGGCTGCGCTGCCTGCACGCGGTGCTCCTCCTGCTGCTGCCGCCGGCAGCTCCCGTGGCTGCTGCCCCCCTTTCTCGCTCTCCATCGCCGCTGGCACCGCCCACACCGGCCTAGGCAGAAGCCCCTGCCGCCACCTCTGCTCCTGGACGGCAGCAGGCGCTGGCGCGTGCCCCGGCCCTGGTGCTGCCTGTGCTGCTGCCGCTGCGTTGGCACGGCTGCTGCCGCGGGTCTTGGCACGCTGCCGCCGCGGCTGCTGCTGACGCTCTAGCATCCCCTCCCTGCCCTCCTCTGCAGCCCCTTGCTGCCTTTGCTGCTCAGCATCCACCCCTGCCATCCACTTCAGGCGCTTCCGCAGCTTGGTGGCGGCCCGGTCGAAAGAAGGGTAGATGGGAAAGTCAAGCGCAACGCTGCTGTCCTGCTCCGAACCCCAGCACGCAACAAACGCCTGCAGCTTGCGCATCGTCCGCTCCGCCTGCATGCACGAGGTGCGAGGAGCTGGGCTGCCTCACACTGAATACAGGAAGGCTGCGGAAGCATCCACAGGCAGCTTGCGGGTGGGCTCCCTGCTCCTTGCAGCTCTGCGGGCCTCCTCCTTGCCCCTCCCTGCCCCACGCCTGCCAGCAGCGCACCTGGTCGGGGAACGTGGCGGCCAGCTGCAGGGCATGGCTCCAAGGCACGCCCTCCCGGCTGCCCTGCTGCTGCTGCCGCTGGCGGAACAGACGGCGGCGCTGCCGCCGTCGAACCGCGCCACAGCCGCCGTCGCCTCCGGTGCCGCTGCTGGGCGGCTCCGAGGCGGCGGCCACGCCCTGGGCGCTGGGGAGCGGCTCAAACCCAGAGCCGAACTTGAAGACGACGGCACCGTCTGGCTGCCCCCGCACCGTGCACACGTGCCAGGTGGCGGCAAAGGCACTGGGGGCGATGGTAAGGCCGCCAGGCACGCCGTCGCTGCTGCCGCCGTCGCTCCCCGGCCTGTCGCTGCTGCTGTGCACGGTGCCGGTTGCTGGGCTGCAGGCCGCCGCCTGCCTCGCCCGCCTGGCCGCCCGCCTGCGCTGCCGCCGTGTCAGCGTCTCGGCCTGCTGCTGCTGCGGCAGCTCTTGCCGCTGCTGCTCTCGACGTGGCGCCAACACTGGGGCACCTTGGGCCGCCGTGCCGACCAGCCCGCCCTGCCGCCCCTTCCCCGCTGCCGCTGCTGATGCAGCAGCTGGTGCGGCTGCGGCTTCCTGGGCTTGCGCCCGCATAGCAGACTCGTATCGGCGGCACAGCGTGGGGCTGGCATCCAGCTCACCCAGCTCCTGCTGTGCACAGGCGTACTGCCAGCGGTCCAGGATACCTTGCACCCTTTCGCCGGGCAGGGTATCCAGCGTCACTGCCTCGCCGCCGTAAGCTGACTCCGGCTGATGCTGGCCCCGTGCGGCGGCAGAGGCCTGGGCGGGCGTGTGGAAGCAAAACACGAGCTGGCCGCGAGGCAGGCCCACCACTGCAACGGCCTCGCACCAGTACGGCAGCGGCTGGATGCATGGGCTGCGCTGTGGCAACTGCAGCTGCCGCTGCTGGCCGCGGTCCTGGCCGCTGTTGGTACCCCCCGTGCCGTTGTTTTCGACAGTGGCCTTCCTCTGCAGCTGCCGCAGCTGCTGCCGGCCCAGCTTGACCTGCTTGGCTGGCGATTGGGCTGCCACGGCAACGCCGGAAGTGGGTGGGTGGCTAGCATCATCTGCATAGGAGGCAGCGCCTGTTGCTGTAGTTAAATGAGCATGTAAAATCAGTACTGCCTACTCTGTTGCTGCGGCTACCTTGCATGGCCGTTTCTGCTGCCGCGGTGCCGCCAGCCTCGCCCCGTGCAGCCGTGCCGCCGCCTGCTGCCGCCGCTGCTGCCCGCCGCCTTGGCCATGGCCGGTCTGCTGGGTTGGGACCCGTTTGCACGCCGCAGGAGCCGATGGTGAGGGCCAAGGAACACCGGTTTATGGGGAGCATGGGGAGCATGGGCTGGCTCCTCTTGAGGGCCAGAAGTGCACGCAAGGTACTCTACATCGATCGCAGGATGCCATGAGCCCGTTTGCAGCCCAGGAGAGGCTCTACGTGCTGAGATGGACCACGCTGGCGCTTGATCGAATTCACCCAGTCTTCAGGCCGCCCACATCGATCTGCCCATAGTGGTGTCGCATAGTGTGCTTCCACGGGCCGCCCAGTGCGAGCGGACACTGTCTGCAAGCTCCTCAGGACTTTATGTCTCGGCTGGCTCTTCCTGCCGCCAAGAAGCCAGCCAGGTTCACCTTCTTGGGCCTCAAAGCAGGCTCGCAGCAGCGGAGCGGTGGCACCGCTCCACCCAGTGGCGGCGGGAGCGGCGGCAGCGGCCCGGCCCGCCCGCCTCCCTCTCCTTCGGACAGCTCTAGCTGGGATACTGATGAAGAGGAGCAGCCCCCAAGGCAGCAGTGGCAGCAACCGCAAGTAGCGGCAGGCAAGGGGGCACCCACTGCACTTCAGCAGCAGCACCAGCAGGAGCCTGCGTCGCAGCTACGCCCCCCATTCGCCATGCCGCAAAGCGAGGTTTACGATGTCAGCGACAGCAGCAGCAGCAGCAGCGATGACGACTGCGACCACGGCACTGAGCTGGCAGCAGGCAAGGTCCCACCGCCGCCAGCGCATCCACCAGGGGCGGGGCTGCACAGCCAGGCAGGCGGCAACCATCTTGCAGCCGCATCCGCAGCCAGCAAGTTTGCAGGCCCTCAGCATGGGAAGGCAGCGTGCTGCGAGTGCCCAGTCTGCAACACCAGCCTGACGAGCCTGTCACTAGAGCAGCAGCAGCAGCACATCAATGCCTGCTGCGATGCCACGGCAGGCGGCCGTGCGCTGAAGGCCGCCCAGCAGCAGCGTCCCGCGGACGTCATTCCCGCCTACCGGCCTACTGGCTACCAGCAACAGCCTGCACCTCCCCAGCAGCAGCAGCAGCCTGCACCATTCCAGCAGCAGCAGCAGCAGCAGCAGCACCCACATCGACCCCAGCAGCACCAGCAGCAGGTGGCAGCAGGCAGGCTGTCGCTGCCTGCCCGGGCGCAGCAGGTCCAGGACCAGCAGGGCCAGCAGCAGGAGACGCTGCCGCCGCCGCAGCAGCTGTGCAAGGTGTGCAGCGCCGACCTGTCGCACCTGCACTACCTGCAGCAGGTGGCGCATGTGAAGGCCTGCATGGCGGGGCGCGGCGGGCGGCCAGTGCAGCAGCAGCAGCAGCAGCCCAAACAGCAAAAGCAGCCGCCGCAGCAGCAGAGGCAGCAGCAGAAGGAGCAGGGGACGCGGGCTGTGCCAGGTACAGGGGACCAGCCGCTGGCGCGCCCCAGGCAGGCGCCAGCGGCGCAGGCAGCGGGCGGTGGCGGTATGTCTGGGCCAGCACACGGCGCTGCAGCAGCTCCGCCACAACAGGCCAGCAGCCTGGCGCAGATGGGCATCAGGGAATGGCTCGAGGTGTGTATATATACCGCGCTGCTTGCCGGCTGGTCAGAAGGTCACGGCCTCGGCGCCCCTAATCAGGCACAATATTTCCAGGCCGTTGTTTCACATGAATGTCCTCCCCCCAAGCTGGGTGTGTGTTGTCCTGCAGGGGCTGGGCCTGGGGCGCTATGCCGCCACGTTTGAGGCGGAGGAGGTGGAGGTGCGTGTGGTGCACCTCATCTCGGCGCAGGAGCTGGCCGGCATAGGCGTGACCGACAGGCTGCATCAGGTGGGCCTTGTGAGGTGTGGGTAGGGGCGCCAGGTGCAGCCTGCGAGTTAATTGAGAGAAACCGTGGCACACAGACGGTTGACTCGCCCATGGTTGTTGCTCCCTGCCGCCCCTGCTCTGCGTGTGCGTTCCGCAGATGCGTATCATGCAGGCCGCTCAGGAGATGGCCACGGCGGCGGGGCTGCGGCGGCCCGGGGCTGCTGCCACCGGAGCAGGAGGGGCAGCCGGCAGGGATGGCAGGCCCGGCGCCGCCAAGAAGCAGCGCCATCTCACGGAGCTGCTGCCTGGAAGGCCAGGAGGCACTGGTGCAGCAGCCAGTGAGCAGCAGGAGCAGCCGCCCCTGGCGCCAGCAATCGGCGCCCAGAGCTGGGACCAGCAGAAGCAGCAGCATAGGCAGGACCAGCAGGATAGGCAGGAGCAGGGCGGCAGCAGCCTGCGAGATGCAGGGCCGAGGCCGCAGGAGCATGCCCTGCTTGCCAGCCTCTACCCGATCAGGGCGCACCAGTACGGCGGGCCGGGAGCGGCGCCAGCTGGGCAGGCGCAGCAGGCGCAGCAGCGGGACCCCGTCCAGCCGCGGCTCACGCCGCAGATGCCCGCCGGCCGCACGGCGTCCCGCGCCACCCCGGCCGCCGCGTCGCTGTGGGCGTGCGCGGGGGCGTGCGCGGCGGTGGCGCCCACGCTGACGGCGCGGCTGGCGCGGCGGGAGGCGGAGCTTCCCGACGGGGCAGCTGCCCGGCAGCAGCCGCTGGCACGGGGCGGGACCGCGTACCCTGTGGAGCAGGAGAGCCGGGCACTGAAGCGGGTGAAGCTGGAGGCTCTGAGGGAGGAGCTGCGCCACCACGAGGCCACCGTGGCGGAGCTCCGGGGCATGGTGGAGCGGCTGGAGCGGGAGGTGGACGGGCAGTGAGGCGGCGCGAGAGGCAGCCAGCCAGCAAGTGGGCACTGCTTGCAAGCCGTGGACGGCCTGTGGCCTTGGGCTTTGGCTGTGGGCCTGGCTGGCTGGTTACCACAACCTGAGAGTGTAGAGCAAGCAGTGCGGCGGCGGCGCTTTCAGGCGAGAAGCTGGCAGCCGCAGTGGAAGCTGCCACCCGGCAGTATTCGGGGAGGTGCAGTGTTCTTGGCCTTGCAAGGCCCCCACCGAGAAGAAACGAGCCTTTCCCACAATGCAGCTCATCCAGCCAAGCGCCCCGCCGCCCTAGCACACACCGCAAAACATGCGCAGACGATGCCGCCTGGCGGCCTTCCTGGCCCTGGTGCTCGGCTCGAGCCTGGTCTGCTCGATCAGGTGCGACGGTGGGAGGTTCCGGCAGGCCGCCAGCAGTTGGGGCCCGCCTCAAAGGCGGGTTCCTTGCACCCTCGCCTGGTTTGCAGTAGCCACTATCGCCGGCCCCCATGCTTCTCTTGCAGCGCCAGGCCCATTCACGCAAGACAGCTGAGCTGGGAAACGGGGGACGGCCAGGCAGGTGGGGAGCGCATTTGAGACGCTCGGCAGTGGTGGCGGCGCGCCTCCCGCCCGCCCTCCATGTGGGATCGAAGTCGCACCCACGCCCTGGCGAAAATGCAAATGCAGGATCTGAAGGGCCCACTGACGGCTCTGGCAGCGGAGGGTCTGGGGAGCAGGACGGCGAGATGCCACCTGATGAGGCAGCAGGGGAGCCGGGCGAGGGCGGCAGCGGCATTATGGATGCCATCATAGCGAGGTGGCGCAACCTGCCGCCAGGCAGCGGTGAGCATGCAGTTGCATCCCCATGCAAGCAACTGTGGGCGCGCACGGCGCTGCCTGTCTTGAGGCTGCGCCTGCACCGCATCACTCGCCCTGCTGCTGCTGCTGGCATGCCGTGCCCCGCAGTGCCCACACGAGGGCCCCTCGACAGGCTGGTGGTCAACGGCGCCACCAAGCCGCGCACCTGCGAGCAGACCAACTGCACAGCAGACGGCAAAGTCTGCACGATGCAGGTGCTCCCTCGCTGCTGCCTCCACCCTGTGGCACGTTCGGCCGGCCTGTTGGCCTCTGCGCTGCTCAAACTCACGCAGTGCTGCTGCCATCCTCCTACCAACTGCTCTGGTGGCCGGGCGCGTGCAGGATGGCCAGCCAAAGTGTGTGCGGCCAAGCAGCTGCAGCCTGGTGCTGTGCAGCCCCGGCACATTTTGCAGAGAGCAGGTGAGGGCGCTCGCCGCTGCCGGCCCTTGCACAGCCGCAATCATCCGCTCGCTGACCGCCTCGACGCCCTGCCAACGTTTGCAGGGGGGTGAGGCCAAGTGCGGCAAGCCCTTCAGCTGCGACCAGCTCTCGTGCAACAGCACGGCTGGGTTCATATGCAAGCTAGAGGTGCGCCGCTGGCCCTGCATGATGTGGAGTGCATGCACATAATCTCGAAGCAGCGGGAGCAACCAACCAGCTTCGCTGGGCATTGCCATTGCGCAGAAGGATGAGGCCAAGTGCATCAAGGGCCCCACCTGTGAGGCCTTCAAGTGCACAGGCGGCACACTCTGCCAGCTAGAGGTTCGCCTGGGGTCCCTGCCCGTCGCCGCATCTCGTGCCGCCCTGTTGCTGCTCATACTGCTGCCACCGTTCCTGACAGCGGCCGCCACCTGTGCCCCTGTGCGGTTTGCAGGGGGACAAGCCCAAGTGTGTAAAGCCGAGCGACTGCAGCCAGATCACCTGTAAACCCGGCAGCTTCTGCAAGGTCGAGGTAAGGCTCGCGTCTTTGCCGCTGTTGCGATGGCCGCCATTCACAACCCTGCGGCTACTTGCCTGCTGCTGGCACCTCATGCTTCAATGCTGCCGGACCTGTGCCTGCTGCGCAGAAGGGGGAGGCCAAGTGCGGCAAGCCCCTCACGTGCGAGAAGCTCTCGTGCACTGCCGCAGCTGGTCTCGTCTGCAAGCTAGAGGTGCGCGCCCCCGAGGCGCAAGCCGCATGCCTTCCTGCCAAGCCCTCAGCTGCCCCCGGTGCTTCCTCCTCCCTGCCTGCTCCCCTGCTACCGCAACGGTCTGCGCATGCTGCTCCCCTGTTGGCCTGCAGAAGGGGGAGGCAAAGTGTGTGCAGGCGCCGCCGACGTGTGAAAACACGCCGTGCCGCGAGGCGGGCAAGAAATGCATCATGGAGGTGCGAGCGGCAGCCTCCTCCTGCTTTGCCTGCCAGCCGGCCATCGCAACTTGCAGCCCAGCTTCGATCAGGCCGCCGCCGCTGCCCACTGCTGCTCCTGCCGCTTCCCTCGCCGCAGAAAAACAAACCCAAGTGCGTCAACATTTGTGCCACAGTGACTTGCGCTGCCAACCAAGTTTGCAAGCACAAGGTGCTTTTGCAAAGGGTGCCCTGAGCTGCTGCATGCATGCACTACGCGGCGTTGGCAATGTCATGGCTGAGCATCAGTTCCTGCTGCTGCAGGGCAAGGCCGAGTACGAGTGCGTTCCGCTGTGCGCCGGACAGCCGTGCTTCGCCCCCAAAACGTGTACCAAGGACAAGGCACGTGCCACGTGTGCTACTGCTGCTGCTGCTGCTGTTTGGGCCCCGTGGACCGCCGCTGGCTGGGTGACGACGCGGTGCAGCTACCTGCCTGACCATCAGCTCACATAATTGCCCTCCCTCCCTGCTCCTGGCTGCTGCAGAATGGACGCGACAAGTGCGAGCTCCCATCCTGACCCGGCTGACTGTCTCAAAAGACAGTTTTAAACCGTTCACCGAGTATAGCAGCAGTCTGTGCACAAGCCAGTGCCCCCAATTTTCCCCTCCAATTCTTCCTCATTCATTTTATCCATTCCTTTGATCCTCAACTGTTTGCGTTCCACACGGAGCAGTAAATTCAATAGTAAACGCAATGCTGCGGCCAGCTCAGCGAAGCGCCTGCTCATGTCCCTCCGCTACCTGCCTCTGGCTGCCGCCAGCCTGCCCTCCATTCTTCGCAAGGTGCGCCCGCCCAGTCGCAGGAAGGACCCAGTCCATATTCGTCCCTGGCTCCCCCTGTGATTTCAACACACGCACATATTGTACCAGCACAGGTGGGCCTCTCGACCAGGCACAGAAAACCTGCGTGCCCTGCGCATGACCACCAGTGCCATCAAAGCGCTGCGACGCTTAGCTTGGATTACAGGGTGCTAGTTGAAAGGCAATGGTTGAGACAGGCTGTGGCGCAGTGGCTGGGCAGGGCGTCAGGGCAGCATCACAGTGTCGTGCGGTAGAGAGGGGGAATGGAGAAGTGCGGCCAGGGGTGGCTGCCGGTTGGAAAATAAGGTTTGGAAAGCTTCATGACTTGGCTTGTACAGGAGAGATGAGTTTCAAAACAAAGGCCCGGGGTAGTTGACGGTTCAGTGGAAGAGGCGGTACAGCAAACCGCCACGGCAAGGCATCGAAAGCATGCTAGTGTGGTATCAAGATGCGCAGCAGACATAACTAGCTGCGCCAGGAGTGGGGGGCATGCATGGGAGGAGGATGGCCCCGCTACACAAGGAAGGACAGCCTTGTGGCAGCGGGACCTGCACGCACAAATCTTTAAAGCCAGAAGCGACGAGGCCCGCCACCTGCTAGGTCGGGCCATGCAATAAAAGCAGGAGGGTGAAGGGTTCAACCCAGGGGTCCCCCCATGTGGGCAAGTTGTCGGCATTCATTGTTGTTGTCTGCGTCTTGTCGTTGTTGGGTGTTGTTGTCAGATAATTATGAGCTTGAGAGGTCTCAGTTGTCGGCATTCATTGTTGTTGTCTGCGGTCTTGTCGTTGTTGGGTGTTGTTGCAGATGATGATGAGCTTGAGAGGTCTCAGGAGAAGACGGCCTGGCTCACGGTACTGCCGTACTGGGCGGTGTGCTGCAGCTCGCGCAGCGCCGCGGACAGCTGCAGGGCAGGAAGCGGCCATGAGCCATGTGGAGTGCGGGCGAGCACATGCGTGGCAGGGCTGTGCACAGCCATGCTGCCGCCACACAGGCGGGCAGCGCGAGCGTCCCGCCCTCGCTACCCACCTCTGGGTGCAGCTGCTCGTGGTATCCTGTCAGCCGCCGCAGCACCGAGGGCCAGAAGGGCACCATGCCGCGCTGCTTGCGCCCCAGGTACACCGCCGCAGCAGCCTGCAGGCAGGCGAGCAGGACAGAGGCCAGGGTGTGTGGCTGGCTGGCTGGCTGGCTGGCTGGCGCGGCGATGGGCAGGCGCGATGCCCGCTCCTCTCCATGCAAGCCACTTGCGGCGCCGGGCTGCTCCCAAGCGCACAGCACGCCCCCCTTGCTGCCAGGCCAGGCCGCCACCCGCACCAGGATGCTGGGCGGGTAGGTGGTGTACGCGTCCTCAAAGGCCAGCTGGTGCAGGCGGGAGAAGGAGTCACCCAGGAGCGCCTCGGTCTGTGGGAAGGCGCACATAAGTGAGCGGGTGAGCGGGTAAGCGGGCGGGCCAGGGCTCCACCGCAACACGACGGGCAGCAGACACCCAGCCACGTGAGCGCACTGCCACGTCGTCAGCCCCTGTCAAGGCCCGCCCACCTGCTCCACGCTCTTCACATCGCACTCCATCCTGTCGGAATACACTTTCCAGCAGTGCACCGCTGCAGCGGGGAGGGCAGGCGGCGCGCACAGCCCAGTCAGCTGTGCACACCTAAATGCTGCGTGGCCCCGGCACATGCACACAACAGCTACGCTGGCTTCCGGGGCTGCCGGCCCCCCCTGGCGGCTTCCCTCCACCCCTCACCCGACAGGCAGGCGGTGTCGCCCTGCAGCGCCGCCGCCACCAGCTGCACTTCCTCCTGCAGGGCCGCCTGTGGCTCGGCGCCTACACCGCTCAGCGTGGCCTGCAGCAGGCGGCGCACCGCGGGTACATTAGGGTGCCAGGGGCTGGGGTTTGGAGGCCGCCTGCGGCATGCAGGCGCCCAGCTCCCTGCCAGCTTGCCGGCCTGCTGGACAGGCTCCCCAGGAGGGTCCGTCCGGCAAGAGCCGAGGGCTGGCCCCGCCCCCGTGCGCCGGCCAGCCGCGGCCCAGCCCCCTCCCACCTCTCTGTCGAGCAGCGCCGCCAGCTGGGCGGGCCCCAGGGGCAGCCCCTCCTTGTCCGCCGCCAGCGCCACGCAGGCGGCCACCAGCAGGGCGTCCATGCGGGGCTGGTAGCCCGCCGCCGCGCAGCGGTCGAGCAGCACCACCGCGGCGTGCCACACCTGCGCCACGCCCAGCCCCAGGCCCAGCACCAGCTGCTGCGCCGCGCCCACCAGCTCCCGCCGCCGCTCGTGGTAGCGGGCGCGGTGCAGGGCGGCCGCGTCCAGCGGGTGTACCGCCTCGTACTCCGCCACTATGCCGTACATCTGCGGCGCGATGCGGGGAGGCAGGCTGTTGGCGGGAGGGGACGGGACGGGAGGCTGGCTGAGGCAAGGTTGCAGGTGGGGAGGGGTCCGTCGGT